GTTTCGAACTGCGGACCTTGCCGATCGCAGCGCAACTCGTCACCACTAAGCCGTCAGGGCTCCTTGAGATGATGTAACAGCCACGATTTTGTTTTTGATTACTTCAGCGTCAGCTCTTGGGTGTTGGGGTTATTCTTCTGGGGCTTTCATTTGGGCCGCATGTAAAAGTGGCTTTGTGTGAAAGAAAGATGCATTCCTCGTGGTCTTGGATGATGGGTTTCCATTGAAAGGACAGGTGGGGTTTGGTGTGGTGTGATCCAGGATTTGGCTGGGATTGGTCTACAATAGTTACTTCTACCTTTTATTTTGGATTTCACAAGGAGAAAACTTCAAGGAACTACAGAATTCAGTTACATTTGTTACAGGTTTACATGTTCTACATAAACTCTTTTTCCGTCAACCTGGAGTCAAAATATCTGTGAACATTTTGTTGCAAAAGTGACTGTTTCATGTTGAGACAATGGTTGCATGCCCGTTACTTTTGGGTGTGGAAATTTAATTAACACATGTAAATTTAAAATGGTTGGGCTATCTAATTTGTCCTGGGTTCACTAAAGGAGGAACTATTGAAAGATAATAATAACAACAAATCCCATTGCTTTTACTTGGATGCAAACTCATGGTAACCCCAGCAGTCCCAAAGTAGACTGCTCCGTAAGACTTTCTGCTTCTGCTTCTGCATCTTTTCCTCCTCTTCCTCCTCCTCGTCCTCTTTCTCCTCCACTTCCTCTTCCTCCTCCTTCCTCTTGCTATGTGTGGATGTTATCTTCACAGCAGTTACCAGGCCTTTCTTTCTCCTGCACTGGGTTTGAACCTCCAAACTTCACACAACTCACAGGAGGTAAGTGCCAACGACTTCTGCCATCCGAGCGCTTACGGCTGAATGCAAGGTAGGGTGTTTAATTTGTTTAAGAGGGTGATGCTTATACTTTTATTCAGGCCACAATTATTAAAATTTCTTTTGCCTCTATTTACCAGGAGTCCTTGTGACTTCATGGTTACATATGAGGCTGCTAGCTGCAAGGCCAGTAGTTTAACACCACCAAGCTGCTCAATCGGAGAAAGATTGGAGCTTTCTATTCTTGTAAAGAGTTACAGTATCCGAAATTATGGGGCAGTTCCACCCTGTCAGATACAGCTACCAAGAGCCAACATTGACTCAATGGCACTGAGAGAGAGAGAGAAGGATCTATTTACTTGGTCAATACAAGTTAACTGCACTCGGGTCCCATTTTAAATAAACTCCTTAAGAGTTGACTTTAACTACACTTTTTAGAATGGAAGTGCTAAGAAACTTTTGATGTCATGATAGAGTTTTTCTTCTTCCTTTTATATGAGTAGGTATGCCTCCCCCACCCCACCCCCCAAGAAAAAGAAACTGCAAAAAGCTCCATGGGGCAGAGCTTTCAAAATATGCATTTTCCCCCTAGGCAAGTGTCTGGCAACTTGCTCTGAGTTAGTGCACGTAGTAGCGACAGCTGGGAAGCTTCTCTCTGCTCACAGTGAAGTTTTCCTGAAGCCAGTTTCACTTGAACTTCTTTTTTGTGTGAAGGCAGATGTAAGAGAACAGGTGGGGCTCTGAAATTGTGTTTCCTGTTTGGGAAAGCACCTGCCTCTCTTGCTTTACACACCTTACTCACATGACCTCGTGAGACTTCTCTTTGGTTCCTTGAATGAAGAGGGACACGAAAAGACAGTGATTTGATGACGTAGAAGAGGTGAAGGGGAAACGAGGGAGGTGCTGTCAGCCATCCAAACAGATAGCTTTGAAAAATATTTCCAGGAATGGAATCATCACAGATTTGACAAATATATTAAGTGTACCGGAGCGTACTTTGAAGGTGCTAAGGTTGCTTTGTAAATAAATAAAATTTAAATACATAGCTTTGGGGGAAATATTTCGGGGTCTTGGGGGTTACCCCTTCATATAATCATTTTTGTAAGCCACAGTCCATTGCCATGGAGTTGACTGTGATTCAGGGTGACCCCCTGCGTGCCCACGTAGAACTCTGCTCCATGGGGCTCTCAATGACTGGGTCTGCAGAAATGGATGGCAGTTTCATTCAGTTGACTCACTTTTTCCCTCCTCGGAGTGGACTTGGCAGCCACAGCCACTTTATCAGCCACAGGTTTAAGGGGTTCATTTTGGGACTCTCATTAGCACCCCTGGGTGTCTATGCCTTCCCCACCATTCCGCTGTCCATTTGTCAGACCGTGGTGGTTTGCATGTTGGTGTGATGCTGGGGGCAAAGCTACCAGTATTTCAAATACAAGCAGGGTTTCCCATGGGGAGATTTCTTTCTTTCTTTTTTCCCCATGGTGAGATTTCAGTGGAGCTTACAGACAAGGAAGAAGGAAAAGTCTGCTTCTGAAAGGATGTCATTGAAAGCCTGATAGATACCAGCAGAACTTTGTCTGATATAAAACAATCACCAAACACACTGCCATCTAATAAACCAGAAAATAAACCCTTCAGGTAGGACTATCCTGCTGCCATTGAGTGGGTGTGACTCATTGCAGCCCTCTATAGCTGCAGTTCTCAAGCTGTGGGTCCCCTAAGACCATTGGGAAACACCTATTTCCAATGGTCTTAGGAACCGAGACACCGCTCCTCTGTCCAACTCCAGGCGGGTCTGCCCACATGCAGATACGCCCACATACAAGTACCTGGCGTGATGACATCATCCCACCAACCCCATCACATACACCCCCGTACAAATACAGGTGTATGTGACAGGGTTGACGCCATAATGTACTTATGCGGACCAGTCACACGTGTAGAGAACACTTACTGTGTAGAGAGCAGCTACTGTGTAGAAAGCAGCTACTGGGTTGAAAGCAGCAGTATTGGAGGTAAAATGACACTTCAAGAATTATAATTACTGGGTAAATGTAAACTCATGTACCATAAAATCATCAACTACTGCAAAAATAAAAAATATCTGTACTATGGAAACTTAATCTGGACGTTGATCAGTCTTTTCATAGTCAGCTATGATTGATGTGAATACTGCCCCCTTGTGATAGTAACAGGTATGTTAAAAAAACAACACAGAATGGTAATTCATAGGAAACTTTAATGAACTGTATTGACTGAACTATACCATGTATCATCTTTTGTATTATTAAGGCTATTGTAATATATTATTTTCATTAGCAAACCATCCTATGGCAGTGGATCGTGTAGAGAAGAACGTTCAGAAAAGAAGCCGCTGTGCAGCATGCCATTGATTTCTTCACCTGGAGCAGCCGAGGATGGAGAAGCGGGAATCACAGAAAGAAAGCAAACCTGTGAGGCTCGCCTCCAAGAAGACCTTGGACAAGAGACCAGGAGAACGGTATGGTGTCCGGCTCTCATTACTGGACCTTTTCATCAACGATTCTATAGAGGAGTCTTGCTCAAAACAGGAAAGAATAAATAATAGAATTTCAAATTCTCAATGGAATCTAGAATTCATGGAGCTATTGAGTCTGGCAGAATCCCCAAAGCTATTGCCCTCAGATAATCTTTAAACCTTAATTTGAAGCAGTCTATTTTGAGGCGGGCTTTACTGGTGACAAAGTGAAGGCTGGTTTATCTTTAACTACAGTTAAAGTGATCTATTTAGTTCCTGTGGACTTCCTGACAGACATTCCTTTGCTATGACGATATAACTATTACAAAAATTAATTACATACAGTGTGCTTTAAAAAATTCATGGGAAAATGGAATTGAGATCACAGAATTTCCTTATGAACTCTTCCAATCCACTTATTTTCGCATAACTGTTTTATTGTAGTTCACATGCCATACAATTCAATGTCTTAGAAATACATTTTTAAAAATTGTACAGTGGTCACCACAGTCAACTTTCGGTCATTCTTATTCGTTCTTGTGTCCGTTATTATTGGCTCCTCATTTCCCTCCAACCTCCCCTAGCAAGCTAGTTACTGACTCTATCGATTTATCTATCCTGGATTTCATATAAAGAAATCATACCTCCCAAACCCTAACAACCACAAAATAAAACAAAAACATTAATATAAAAGAAAGCAGAAAACAATAAAAACTAGAACAAGTTATAAACGGGTAAACAAAGGGTAAGATGTTGACTTTTCATCAAAGATTCTATAGAAGATACCTGATCAATCGGGAAAATTACAAGCAGATGTTCAAATTCGCAGTGGGATCCAGACTTTCTGGAACCATCGAGGCTGGATGAATTCTCAAACTATTGCTGTACTTCTACATTCTTCAGTTCCAATTATTAATTGGAACTATGAATTAAGTATTAATTCCACCTATTCTACACTCCGCTATTAATGGGTGTTTGCACCTGTTCTCATTTTGAGTTGTGTCCATCAGCAAATGAATGTCCCAACAACTTTTCTCCATCCACATCATTAGAGCCTACTTACTCTGGGGAGGCATCTCTGCCCAATCATGTATCTTTTGAATGACTTCCCACCTGAAAGGAGCCCAGCGGTGTTATGCGCTAGGCATTAGGCTGCTAACTCCAAGGTCAGTGGTTCAAACTCAGCTGCCTCCTCATGGGAGAAAGAGGAAGCTATCTCCTCCTGTACATATTTACAATCTTGGAAATCTTATAAAGCAGTGGTTCTCAACCTTCCTAGTGTTGCAACCCTTCAATACAGTTCCTCATGTTGTGTGGTGACCCCCACACCCCACCATAAATCATTTTCCTTGCTATTTCATAACTGTAATTTTTGCTACTGTTAAGAATCATATTGTAAAGATCATATACGCAGGATGTATTTTCATTTACAAATTGAACATAATTAAAGCATAGTGATTAATCACAAAAACAATATGTAATTCTATATTGTGAAATATTTATGTCTAATTACAAATAAATGAAATTTTGTCTTGAAGCATGGCGTAGCATGGGTAACAGAATAGAAAATGAGGGAGTAGAAAGCCTCATTTTTCTCCCATGGAGCGACTTGTGGTTTCAAACTGCTGACCTTGCAGTTGGCAGCCCAAAGCATAACCACTATGCAACCAGGGCTCCTTTTCTACAAAATGCAATTCTTCAGGCACCGGAAAGATCGCAGACTGCCACTTATGTTTATACTGCTTTTTTACATGAACTCTAGGATCCCTGGTGACATAGTGGGTTGAATGTTAACCACAAGGCCAGCGGTTCAAAACCACCAACCATCTGTGGGAGGAAATACCAGGCTATCACTGTAAAAGGTTACCATCTCAGAAAGTTGAAAACCCTCAGGGGCAATTCTACCTTGTCCTGTGGGTCACTATGGCCTCGACAATTAGTTGAGTTTGAGTATTAGCTAATAGAATTGGCTAATAGTATTTTAATATTAGCTAATTTATTATTTGATTATTAGTAAAGTACTTTTTAGTACTTTATTAGTACAGCTAATGGTACTTTTGTTTTTACTGTTAATACTCAATAGCAGTCAAAATCAAAGTGGTAGTATGCCACCTTGTGGATGTCTGAGGAATTGAAATCTTGCAGATCATTTTGGAGGTGAGGACATGATTTCCATGACCGCTCCCTCCCAGTACAGCCTGAATTATGCAAGCAACGTACGAAAAGGACCGGGGGAAAGATTACTCAAATATTTGTGGAATATGTGACCAAAAAATTACATCCTGCTAATTTTGAAAGCAGCACACTGAATGAAGTTTTGCCACCAATTTTCTAGACAGCCTGCATTTATCAGTGGAGCCCTGTTAGTGATTAAGAGGTGGCTGTGAGCTGCATGGTCCGCAGCTTCAGCTGGCAAGGCTCACTTCCTGCAA